ATTGTAGGATAGGGGAGAGAGGGGTTTATATATAAATAACATGGGGAAATGATGAGGAAATGAAATACGTAGGGACTCTGTCCCCACGCTTCCGCAGCCACTGTTCATCTGGCATTACTATTGAAATGTACATACAGTGGCCGCGGAAGCTGTGGGGACATTTGGGGACATTGGCATGGTAGGATATGGGGTTTATATAAGATGGGCAGATGATGGGGACATTGAATAACCGTGGGGACATTGTCCACACGCTTCCGCGGTCACTGTTTAGTTCAGGAGGTTATGCACAAAGAAAGTCTGTGCTTTGAGAAGCTTAACTTATCCATCTGCATTGTAAATATTATTGTTTCGGAGACCAATTTAAAATTTAAATCGTCCACCTCCAACCTTTGTCTAGCTTTTAAGAAATGTAATTATGGATTGACAGATTATTCAATCCGCATTGTTTTTAGTTGGAGTATATTATTTACAGCCACACAGAACCAGATCGTGTGTATTTCGAGTCATCCTTTTATTTGCAAGCCCACAAATAATCTAATTATGGCGAAATTTATTCAGAGCGAGGATCAAACTCGAACGTACCTGGTGAATAAATATTTTATGCTTGCAGCAGGCCTTGATGCCCAGACAGGTGTGTAATGTAAGCAAATTGAATAGAAAAAAAAATATTTTTCAAGTCCTATAAATACATACTACACATCTCAACTTGACAGCTTCTATTTGCCTATTTTTATTGCGTCAATGTCTACCTGGTTATGCAAGTAGTTTTATATTTACAATTAGTTAGAGAGCACGTTACAATTGTGCACTTTTCGTAAACATCCCACCCAACAATGGTTGTTTTCATACTCGCTAATTTCTGAGGATTCCTGAGATCGTGAGCCAAAATGTCATTCTGAATCCGTCCCGTCTTTTCTGAATGAGAAAACTCAGATTTCTGATGAATGTCTTTGAAATTTTGAATTTAATGTAAGACATTCTGATAACATTGAAAATTGTGAAAGTTCAAATTGAGAATGTCAAAATTCAGATTTCATACTTTTTTCATCCAGAAAGTTTACTATGTAACAAATACAATTTTTTTTACCGAGCTTGGACTAAAATACTTCCGCATATTTAATGCTAACGACCATGTTTTTCATATTTGTAATGAAAAATTGATGCTAATATTTTAATCAATAGTACATATTTCTAAATATTGTGCTAATGAGAACGCTTAAAATAGATGCAAGGTTAATCTTCTAATCTTAATCGTTCCGAGATGTCAACAGAGTAGTTTGCAAAATTCCATCATTTGCAAAAATGCGTCTCAGATTTTGCTATAAATTAAATATTTGACCATCCTCTACTCACACCTGCTGCGAATAAGCTCGCTGGAGCCATCGCCAACTGGAGAAAGTTATAAATAAGTACTAAACAAAGAGGTAAACATTGCCCAAATTTCGGACCTAGATACATGTGCAAATTATGCTTTTATTTATATCTGCAACATCATAATAACCATGATTTTCGCAGTTTTAGCACTTTAGTGTTTGCCTTATTAAATATAACCATACGTACATACACAATGATCTTAAGGAAGGAAAAAGTTCAACAAGTTCGTCCGTATGAATCCACCTGCTGGACTTTATGGATTTTGGATGTGAAATGAAAAGCATGGAAAGATTTATGGGTTATACGAGCATCGTATAAATCACAGGGTGCATTTTTATGTCTGCCCATTACTGCGTTCCTATGTATTTAACAACTTCATATCTGCAAAAATATGTAACCCACATTAAATTACATTGCGTCTTATAATACATATCTAACCATAAGTATAAGTACATATCAAATGAAGTCTGAAACCGTAAAAATACACACAAATGTATGTATACAAAATATTACGTACATACATATACATGCATTAAACGCTGTAAAATTAAATGCACTACACAATTTATTTAACTGCAGCAACTGCATATTCCCATATTTGCTGATTAAAGAATACTACAAAACGTATGCATTTTAACTTTAAATTCTGCTGCACTGCACTGCCAAGAATAAATCCATCCAGCCAAAATAAAAAAGTTTGAGAGACATACACATAATTTGCAACGCAATTAAATAAATACTTGGTGTGGATTTGAATTACTTGAAATGTTGATGGCTTACTAATACGTATGTATTTACATATCCTTTAAAGTCTAAAAGTTGCCTTATCTCAGTAAAATCTGTGAAGTATTACACCTTTCAGATGACTCAGAAAGTTTGTCAGAAGTAAATAATATTTATGTACGCATATCTTTACAATATTGGTCGATATTATGGGAAGTTTTTAACAGCGACAACACAATACTTTGTACTTAATAGAACTATTTGTCCTGATAGAAAATCTCTTACGTGGCGAATTGCTATTTATTTACCTTGAAAACATGTCCATTCCATGCGTCCATGAAATGTTTTCGATAACAAAACCATAAACCAGTCTGAAATCGAAGACAATCTCAATATTTCCAGGTGGAAAATACATGAATACATAATAGTTAGTTGTAGGTACCAAGTTCGATCACGTTCTCATTGACTTTTTACGTCATCTCTCCTACTGTTGACCGTCATTGTTCGTATTTAAGATAAATTTTATCCGGTAAATTCACCTTGCTATCTTCAACCTATCTCAACAAACGTCACAGAAAATATATGCACACCTGAATAATTATGCAATTAATTCGCATATATTTGCATAATCATATATTTGCATGCAATTTCCGCAATTCCTAAATACATGCAAATTCACCGAACATATATGTTGTTACCAAAATAGAAATTGCATAATTTATGGACATCGATCACGCCGTGAAATCAAATGTTTTTCTTGCTTCCATCCAATAAAAAATGTATCACCCACGCCACGTCAAACTTCATCAATCATATCGCTATTTGTGCAGAGTTAAGTCTTGCCAAGCAAAATAAAAATGTTTGCATTTATGTATGTATCTCTCTCTCAAATGTCAAAAGTTCAAGAAAAGATGAAGTGCTCACGAAAATATCTTGCAATTCTCGTGCGATTCTCGCAAATCTTGTGCAACAAATCCAAACTTTACTGCTTTACTTTCGCATATTTATTTAGCAAATGTCAAGTTTGATTTGAGGATTATCCGTGTACAAGAGACGATTTCTGAATATTTCATGTTCAAAGCAGTCTTTTCTTCTTTACATTCAGTCTCAAACTTATCTTCTAATTGAACCATTAAAATTTTTAGTACGGTTAACTCTAGACTGTGAGGCTTGCAATAAGTTTTCCTTGTTGTGTACATACATATGGATTCGCGATAAGCATGTATATGTACATACTTAAGGATTGGGCAATGTATGCAAATTATTAACGACATATTTATGATTAATCGGATTTCAATTGATCACAGAGAAGCTTCTTTCTTTCTTGTTTTGCCTCAAAATTCCTCTGCCTGCATCATCACCCTATAAAAAAGTCATATTTGAGAGATAATTTTGGTACTGAAAAGTACCCTCTCGTCAAATTTATAAAACTTGAACAACAACACATACTACAACACATACTATATATATTATATATAAGCTGTTTATTCCAATTCGTATAATAAAAATTCTACTTAAATTAAGTCAATACGTTATTAATCTCAATTTATTTAGTTTAATTAATGACCCATCAAAATATTCTGCATGAATAATACATACATAATTGTAAATAAGTTCGACACTAAATGCATATGAAGATAGTTAAAAGTTCATTACGGATCAATAACTAAATTAACTACCAAAAATATCAAGTTATTCGCTCATCATATTTCTACTGCGCAGCACTTTTTATTAGTTTACCTGTGGGCTGGACACCTGATCATTTAATTTAGCAATTATCCAACTGATTCTAAATCAAGAAAGCAAAAGTCATGCATTTTTGCACATTGCAAAAAAATTGCGATTAGATTTTTGAAAAATAAATCTATTTTTCACACTATTTACTCCAAACCTGAGCCTTTTACACAAGTATCAGTAGCTTAGCTTAGGTGGCAATTATAATGAGCCAAAAATATTCCAAAGATCAATTCCTTTCCTACGCTTACGTAAGCCAAGCGCCCTCCCTTTGGCCTTCCTTACTCGTTTTTTTCTTCTACACGTTGTTTACTACTTGTTGATCCAAAAGTCATTTAATTCTTAACCGGTTCTTACATATTATTCCGTCCAATCCATGCAAAGAGTAAAAGTCTACAGACCAGATTCTCCACGTTCATACAACAAAAACTACCAACGCCATTTTCTATGGCGTTGGTTCGTGCAAATAGAAAAAGTCATGCAATTATTTTAAAAGTCGTCATCATAACCCTACCGAGAACCGATAAACTTCTAACTTGCTAAGTCTAAACTCAGTTTTTCAGGATGGACCAAACTTCAAAAAAGTAATGAGCCGTGATGTCAGAACTTACTGTTACGAATATAAAAGTTTTAACGATCCCATATTTCTCCAGTGCATATTATGACTCAGTGGCCGCGGAAGGGTGACAATATCCCCACGGTTATTCGATGTCCCTATTTATTATCTGCCATCTTATATAAACCCCTCCCTCCCCTATCTATCATACAATGTTAATGTCCCCACAGCTTCCACGGCCACTGTTATATTATGCCTACAATTTTATGAGGAAAGGTGCGGTCAACAAATTTTCTACCGTGTAACTTTACACGACACTCATTGTCTAATACAACATTTGGATTGATTTGTCTACATGCACAAATAAAATAAAATAAAAAGTCTTGAGTGGGCTGGACCAGGAATAAAATTGTGTAACTTTTCTCGTTAACAAACAATCACAATGTTTTTAATGGATCATTAAAGAATGTCATTTGTATGCACATGTTATTCCATTTTACATACATGCACACAATCTAACTATGTATGAAAAGGCCAATTAATAGCATGAATAAAGCGAGACACAAAGTGCATCAAATCAAAGCCACAAATCGACAAGTTTCTTGTTTCATACCTGTCGTCAATATTTTTGCATTTCTCCTTTATTGACCTAAGAATCAAGGTGAGGCTTTATTATAAGAGCTCGTCGTACACATACTGCGCCCAAAGTCAAGGATGATCTCATCACAGGTGTAGGATTGGGATGAAGTTAGATTTGTCCACGTGACAGGCACGATTTGATAATGTTGCAACAGAACAGCAGTATTGTCACGATTAGCAGGTTTATTTCCTTGCCTGTAAAGCATAAAGAAAAAAAAACTGTATGAGACAATGATGATGATATGCAAAGCTCTTTTTTGCAATACAGATGGCAAATTGAAGATATCGAAAAGCTATCGAAAATTAAATCTAGCTTGCATTTTGCAATTTGTGATGATGATATGTACCAATTGCTAAATATGATGATAGGATTTATTTTTTGCCTGTCGGTTGTATGGATTCTTGAACTTGGAGTCAAGATCATATTTACATATGGGTACAATCGGGGTATTCATGAAGAGTTTTTGTTGCGATTCGCAAAATAATTTTGGCAAAAAGTTTGCAAGCTAAATATTTACTAGCCTTGAAGATGCGAATGAATTTTCAATCCAATTTTTTTTGCGAACTATTAATTTTTGCTAACCAATAATACCCCAAATGTAAGTAAGAGTTCGCATCACATTGCGATTCGCGTCATAATTTTTACAAAAATTTTGCAACCTAAATATAAGCATTGAAGATGTGCAAGTTTGCGAATGAATTTTCAATCCAATTATTTTCGCGAATTATTCAACTTTGCTAACCAATGAATATCCCCAATATAAATACGAGTTGCAATTTGCAACATAATTTTGGCAAAAAATTTCGCAAACTAAATACTTGAAGATGTGCAAATGAACTTTCAACCTAATTTTTTGCAAGCTATTTATTTTCGCTAAAATTACTAACCAATGAATACCCCCAATGCACATAAATGTTGTCGAGTGAATGAAATATGCACATATTTACATACAAATTCAAACATCACATTTATCTGATGCGTTGGTGTACAACAAATTCGAAACGAGACATAACATGTTTTTCGCCATTTTTTTGGCCATGATGATGAGAGGAGGATCGCATAAATTCTTGAGACCAATCCATTTATAGGAAGTGTATTAGCAAAATATTATTTATTGCTGTCACAGACAGAATTAACATGTGTACATATTATCTCAATCTCACTCACTACTACCTGCCAAGGTCTGCCTTGACCTTTGCCACCTATCGATTGAAGATCATGACATGATTGGGACCAATTTCAGGGTGTAATCATGATGAATTAACTTGTACGTATTCTTAAGATTCCATATTTCTTTTCATAAGACAGACGCCTTGATAAAATGGCAAAACATTTCTGGTTAAATTCAGATTCTTGTTTAGAAGGTACCTAAATATGTACATAATTTACTAATTATAGAATTAAATTCTCACTGGATCAAGATGCCCCAAACTGCTCACAAACATGTACATATGCAATGGCCGCGGAAGCGTGGGGACAGAGGGACCTGATGTCCCCACGGCTTCCGCGGCCACTGTACCTAAATAAATATGTATAAGAGGTCCATGCATCCATAATACCAATCTGACTAAGACGTGCCTTAAAAATGAAAGTGATCAAATTTCAAGTTATAAAAAGAAATCAGACGAACGATTACCTAGCCGCACAAACCACGCGTGCATAATTAATTAATTTCAATCACTAAATATGTATAATTTCTAATCGGAATATGCATGTAGATAATTGTATGTAATCCTAAATATAATTCTCGATACCCACCACTGAACGATTTTTGGAAAATTATTCCCTTTCATTAATGACATTCTGCTCCGAGTTAAAAATACGAATTGTGTCACAACACGTTAACATAAACATGCTAAACTACACATAAATACATAAATGACATTCATCTCAAGTAAACAAGGTCTCATGCAGCCTGGGTCATTATCAATGTAACATTTTCAATTTATTTAGTAACCATTTTACCATAAATTCAAACATTTATACAAGAACACACTAAGTACGTAATATTCTTCTGTCTAACTAACTAACTGACTTATGCAAATGTTTAATATAACACTTTGCATATTCTAATCGAAAGTTGGTTGGTAAACATTGGGATTCATGCGTGGTTCTCGGCTTAGCTTAAAGGAAAAGTAGGTTAAAGAGGAAATCATGGGAAACTTTCCTGCACTATTATGCCATGCACCTCGTGAAAATTAATTTTGTAACTTTTCCACACGTCCCCTGCCCCAGACCCCACAACGACGAAAGCCAAAGCCAAGACCACAAGTTCATTGGGAAATTTCCTGTGGTTGGATACATGCTAAACTTGATGCAATGGGTTTAGCAGTTGACATTGACGAGAATGAATTGCGTTTCAAGTTTCTATTGCAGAATTTTCCTTAAGGATGCCACCACAAATCGGTAAGCGCCATTCAAGCATGTGTCTTTCCTAATTCGTGTCGACAAGTCTGTGCTAACTTCAGTGGCCGCGGAAGCCGTGGGGACATTAACATTGTAGGATGGGGGAGGGAGGGGTTTGTATAAGATGGGGAGATGTTGGGGACATCGAACAACCGTGGGGACATTGTCCTTACCCTTCCGCGGACACTGGCTAACGTATGAATTTATCTAATCACTTTTTCCTACAAAGAAATGCATTAATTCTAATAATTGTTCTGGTAGAAATTAATTATGTCAGCAAATATGAAAAATTGCGTAGAATTATGACAAAATTTGCATAAGTAGAATACATGAAGTCTGAAAAGATAGATCCATGCAAAATATGCATTAAGCATTATTTATACGAACTGCGCTTTGTTTTGTTAAAATATTGAAGAATATACATAAATACGTAATACATGCATAATTAGCTTGTCATTCAGTCAGACAAATCACTAATAATAAAGTGTTAGTATGATCCCTGGGTCCCTGGGTCCGTCTTCCAGCAATGCAACTCGCCCCACCACTGAACCATCGTGACTGGCCACCGCGGTACTCTCTTCTTCTCGCTCAGTCGATCTGATCAACAGACCGACAACAACACATTTATCCACAAGTCCTCCAAGTTTCACGCCCACCTCCTCCTCCCACTTAAAACCAACCACAACCCAACAAAATAAATAACTACATACATACATACATTATCTATATACATAAAGAGCTATTGTTAAGTTCTGGCTGCCTGGCTGGCTGGGTCCCTGTGGCTCTCAATGCAACTCGCCCCACTACTATTGAATGGAGTTTACGCAACCAGCGTGTGCTCCGCTACACCATTGAGCGTACCCATGATGACTCTGCCGCGACACTTTGTCTCTATCTTCTTGCAGTAGAATTGTAAACATACCAGCAGCATAAAATTCATATCCTATTCTCTGGAATTTTAACTTTTTTGCTATGCAGTCACCCCTCCCTCTGGAAATTTGAGTTTTTTGTTAGTTAATCACCCCTCTCTCTGGAAATTTAAGTGTTTTGTTTTTTAGTCACCCCCTCTCTGGAAATTTAAGGTTTTTGTCATTCGGCCACCACATCCTGTGGAAATTTAAACGTTTAGCTATGCAGCCACCCCCACGCGACGGGAATTTAAGTAGTTAGCTATGCAGCCACCCCCACGCGATGGGAATTTAAGTGTTTACCTATGCAGCCACCCCCACGCGATGGGAATTTAAGTGTTTAGCTATGCAGCCACCCTCACGCGACGGGAATTTAAGTAGTTACCTATGCAGCCACTACAAGAGGGGGAAGTCAAATTGTTCCGTGATCAGGGAAATTGAAATGTATGATTTGATGCACGTACATATGTATTATGACAATGGACAAAGTCTCCACTGGGAATTATTTGAAGTGTAGCGTAGGGGATTTTGCGCTATGGGCACACCCCCTCTGGGAGCCTAGAACCCGTTCTTGAACGGGCCTCTACTCTAGTAATTACATAATTTATCCCGAATATATTCGTTTATTAAAATTGGTCTCATCCCGCTGTATTGCGCATTAAAACTTAATAGCATTGTTTTTATTGTTTTTTAAAATACATAAGTGCATACATACACAAGTACATATGTTATACATATATCTATTTGCATATTACACCCCATGCTACTAGACTACATATGTAAATGATGCACCTGATAATTAACCGAATTTATGTCCGCATTTTCCTCGTTCTTCTTCATGCATCCGATAACTAAGGATAAGCCAGTTGCTATTGTGTATATGTAACTACTTAAAAAATGGACAATCAACTGACAATGGAGGTCTCCCAACGTATGCTCACAGATTTGGACCAAACTAGTGTCAATCGATCACAAATCTAATTAATATGAAACTTGCAAAAGACACTATCTGCCAATGCGCAGGTTTGGCGGAGATATTTGCATTCAAAGCAGAAAAATGCGCAGGAAATTTGGGAAATGAAAAATATGCCAACCTTTTGGTGCGTTTTCTCCTCTTTTTATGCAAATATCTCCGCCAAACCTGCGCATTGGCAGATAGTGTCTTTTGCAAATTTCATATTAATTAGATTTGTGATCGATTGACACTAGTTTGGTCCAAATCTGTGAGCATACGTTGGGAGACCTCCATTGTGAGATGAGATAGAGGAAAATTTGCTCCCGTGTTGTGTTATGCTCCGCAAATTCTGACATCTTCTAAGCTGAATTCGCAGTTCCATCTCGTGTTACACGCTAAATTTACCATAAATACATACATAACTTCTATCACGCAACTATTTAATGAAACAAGCAATGGAATATGATACAACAATTCATTAAAAAACGTTTATTCCAAAACGTAAAATATTTACTACAAGGTTAACATTTTATTCATCTTTGAATTCTACATTCCCATTAAATCTTTAACGAATATATGTATTTATTCACATTTTGTCAAATCTTCCAAAATTTTAGAAATGGTAAGCAAATTGTAATTTACTAACTAACTATAGAATCAACAAGATCCTGTACTTTTCCAGTAATATGATGCATAATGGGGTAGCAAATTATGTCGTATCGTATATATACTCAAATTTCTTCTAAAAAGATATAACTATTTCACTTACTAGAAGCGATTAAACTAAATATTTTTTTCTTAATTTCCGGAAGGAAATTGCACCCATATCTCACTCATGTATGGCAAAGGGGGAAAACGTGCTTCACACAAATGACATAAGAACACAAACATCTCGTCACTTTTTTTGTCTACTACTGACGACGAC